CACACACACAAATAGCATAAAACATGTAGCTGTAATCTTAGTAAATAACCTCAGAGTGACATAAGCAGATATTTACTTGCACGTGATCTGAAGGCAAATAACCTACTGTAGAACGCTAAACGTAAAAGTAAATACGAATTAAAAGTCAATGGTAGAAAATCACGAATCATGTGAGGTTAGCTATTTAGCTGCACTCAGAAGCAGTGAAAACAAATAATCTCCGGAGTCACTCATCTCTCTCTTTCTCTCGTGCACTGTTTTACATCTTTCAGCACCACTTACATGTTACTAAGCACGCACAAAAACACGCCGTGAATCTGGACAGAAAGGCGTTTGTGAACACATACCACTCCTTTCTTCATGGTGGCTGCCATCTTGAACAGGAAACGGACTGCTTGCACGCGCGTGAACGGCGGCGGAATGAAGCACGTGGGTATTCATGAGTTTGTTGCCATTTCGGAAATGTGCAGCTTTTGTTAGAGAGAGAATGAATGACATGTGTTTGACTTTAATAACTGCCTTGAGCACTTAAGTTTTGCATTTCGGTTTTCTTGAAATTATCCGCAGTTTTTGTTGTGGTTAGGATTTTCACAACACTTACTGACATCTGGACGATAGTCATTATGATTAATAAGGACTGTTTTTAATGTTTTTGTGTTGAATTGATGTGATAAAATATAATTGTTCAGGCCCTACAGGTTTTGAAACAGCTGCCCCACATTTTTTGAGATAGCAGTGTTCAGGTAAAATGGGCCGGCTGATCAGCAAAAATGGGCCAGTCAAACTGCAAAGTGAAATAAAGACATTTCTGATAAAACACATTTAATTATATTTAATTTTATAATGTAACAGTGTGACATTGTATTTAAATTACATTGGAACATCAATTTGAATTACATTAAATCATCAATTTCAATCAATTTCATCAATAAAACAAATTTCATGAAAAAATGTAACAATAACAACAACAAGTAGTGTTATGGCAACAGTTTAAAAGTTAACAGCCAATGACTGCAAAGAATTTCAAAGAGGAGAGGTATGACACTGAAACCTTTCAATCAATTTCATCAATAAAACATAAATTCATTGAAAAATGTAACAATAACCTGAACAACTAGTGTGTGTGTGTGTGTGTGTGTGCGTGCACGTAAACATACATATGCATAAATTTGCAATATAAATAATTTTTAATAAAAGGAACCACCAGAATTTCTGCTTAAACTCAACTCAGAAGGTGGCCTATTTTAACTGAAATTAGTGGCTCATTTTATCTTAACACATTCAGGTAAATTGGGCCAGTAACTAAAAACGCTTTTTTTATATATAAAAATCTGGATTATTTAGGAATCAGCATTTTATCTCACAGAGGCCATCAAGACATGGGTTATGAATCATTATTTCTAAATGTGCATTTGTTTTTTATTGATTTATCAACCTTATTATTGAGAAGTAAGATTGGATATGTCAGGCCACTCACCTTGCTTTTTTTTGGCGTGGTCTCAAAATGACGCATTACCCCTCACCCCTGAGCAACCTCAGACCAATAAAATAATTTGCTAAATGTCAAGTACTGTTATGGCAACAGTTTGAAATTCTTTGCAGTCATTGGCTGTTAACTTTTAAAGAGATAAGACACCCAAACCTTAAATGGCCCATTTTACCTGATGGCCCAATTTGCCTGATATCACCCTATATATATATATATACTTTTATGTCCCCAGGGATTGATTTCCTTGTTCCACCTTTATACCTGTCGATGTAGCCTTGTCAAAAAAATTAAATAAAATAAAAACATTTAAAAAATATGAAAAATGACAATTAAATGTTATTATAGGCCTACTTGGTTACTTTCTAAAAACCCACAGGGCCAAAAGTGGCCATATGAAGAAAAACGGACCTTCAAGACATCTCAAAATATCTTCTTTTATGTTTTTAAAGGGGTCATATGATGCGATTTAAATTTGTCCTTTCTCTTTGAAGTGTTACAAGCTCTTGGTGCATAAAGAAGATCTGTAAAGTTGCAAAGTCTCAAATCCAAAGAGATATTCTTTATAAAAGTTAAGAGTCAACCACGCAGGCGGGGCATAGAGGAGAAACAATAATGTACAGTATGTGGAAAATAATGTGTTTTTTGAACCTTAAACCACGTAAACACGTTTCATTACACCAAATGCACAACATAATGTTCTTTTTAGCAGCATCATATGACCCCTTTAAGAAATGCATGACAGAAAATGAAGACCGAATCTTCATTTTTGGGTGAACCATCTCTTTCAGCTTCAGAATAGCCATCGAGTGTACAATCAATGTTCTTCTGGTAAGTAAAACAAAGTCGTGCCACAGGACACAAGCTGTTGAATATTTAGTTAACATAATGACAGCGGACACAACCTGACTGAACAAACTCACTGTGGTTGCTACTAGTGCTAGTTTCTTAAACATCCTCTTTGTAAACAGTGTTACACCCAAAGACAAATATTGGGATGATATGCAATTCCCCCCCCTTTTCCCAACATTACCATTCATATATGATTATTTTTAATAGCTATCTTTAATTTACATGTGTGTATATTTGAGCACCAATGACAAATATGAATTTGATAAATGTGAAAACTATAATTGCAACTTGTTTGCATTCTGTGCAGTCTTATATCTTAATGAAAATATGCTTCATTTGGATGCTTTAGTGGAATGCCTTCAAGGTTTTTCACTGTTAGCATGTTGCAGGAATTCCTTTCATGGTGGCAGATCAAGTTCACAGTGACCACGAAGGAATTTACTGTTCGCCCCCAGTGTGTGCATTTACAATGTGACTCTGTATTCATGAACGGCGCTTACATGACAAAATCTGCTCCTTTGTTCGTTGTCATGCTTTCTGTTGAATAAGAAAACACAGTGCACTGTACATATTAGAGTGTTCTGTTTAACGTTCATTTAATGAGATATTAAAGCGTTTACAGTACGTTTTGGCAAAGCGAGAGGATTCGTCAGCTCAAACAACCATGTGTGAATTGAATAGAGAATGGAGAATGACTGAAACGGCCGAACTGGGCCTGTGGGAGACAATCGGCATGTATTTAGCCTGTATTTATGCATGTCATGCAGTAAAAAGAATTATATTAATATATCATAAAGGTCAAGTATTGATGATTTATGCTAAAACAGTCAAGAAAAGGGTGGGCCAGATCACAATGACATGCATTTAAAGTGAAAAAAAAGTGACGTGACATGTGGCCAAGTATGGTGACCCATACTCGGAATTAGTGCTCTGCATTTATCCCATCCAAAGTGCACACACACAGCAGTGAACACACACACACCCGGAGCAGTGGGCAGCCATTTTTTTGCTGCGGCACCCGGGGAGCAGTTGGGGGTTCAGTGCCTTGCTCAAGGGCACCTCAGTCATGGTATTGAAGGTGGGAGAGAGCGCTGTACATTCACTCCCCCCACCTACAATCCCTGCCGGTACGAGACTCAAACCCGCAACCTTTGGGTTACGAGTCCGACTCTCTAACCATTAGGCCATGACTTCCCCTAACCTTAACATCAATTATGCTGTGATTACATCACAAGATTAATGCAGGAGAACAGTCAACTTTATGTTAGCCTACCTACGTTTGCTGTCTGTTTTTTTCCCTTTCAATGATAGTATTTTTTCATGTCAAGTATTTTATTTTTCTAATATTCCTATATTTTTCAAATAGTCTAATAACAAGAGAAGAATCATTGTCAAAGTCTGTTAATATTACAAAATTAGGTCATTTTAATTTTTTTAATCAAATTATTTACATAATATACTGATTAATTAATCAAATGAATTTGCAAAACATCTCATATGTCAATATTTGACTCAAAGAATCAAAATATAGTTTTGGTATTATTGAACAGTCTATTGTACAAATGCTTTGAATTTAGATGGTACTTTGCTGTAGGATTTATTTTACAATCTGGAGCCGATGATCAAAACCAGGGTTCATCACAATGCCCAAGCAAATCCACAAAAATGCTTGATGATGAGCTTAAACTGATCAGTTTAACAGGCTGTGAAGATCAAATAGTCTGGTCAATGAATCTGCGGTGTCCAGAACAGGGTTTTATAGTTAATAAAATAAAACTAAAACAATTTAAAGAAAGAAAGAAATGTTGACTGAATTCAAATACAATATAAAACAGCATTTATTACTTTTATTTCAACTGTATCAAAAAAACTAAAAACACAAAATAAAAAATAACTAAAAGCTTTGACCAAAATTAAAATGGAAAGTAAGAAAAATGAATAAAGTCTTGATTCAAAACTATAATAGTATCTCACATTGAAAATCTAGGATTTTAAATCTAATTGAAACTTTAAAGTAAACAGTTTTTTGGATGTTTCTTCTCTTTGAAACATCTCAAATCTTGCTGGAAAATATGATCATCTTTCTGACACTGATATCAATTTTTAAGGCAACTTGCAGTACCTTTTAAAAGTTATGTATTATTTATTTATTTATGTTGCCCACCAATGCTGCATTTATTAGATTAAAAATACAGTAACATTGTGAAATGTTATTACAATATAAAATAACCGTTCTTTGTTTTTAATTTATTTATTTTAAAATGTCATTTATTCCTGTGATGTAAAGTTGAATTTTCAGCATCATTACTCCAGTCTTCAGTGTCACATGATCCTTCAGAAATCATTCTGAACTGCTGATTTGCTGCTCAAGAAACATTTCTGATTATTATCAGTGTTGAAAACCATTGTGCTGCTTCATATTTTTGTGGAAACCAGACTATTTCAGGATTCTTTGTTGCATAGAAAGTTCAAAATAATTTTTCACATCATTTTCCATGTTCCTTCCCATGTATTCTGCAAGTGAGCAATCATTAAATAAATAAAGGCTTAGGTTGGTAAGCTTGTTTTCATGTACTCTGTACTCAAGCCCTGGATGAGAGTCATACTGCGCAAATAAACTTGTGCTATATATCCTCTACACACATCCTGTTTGGGCTCAACCACACCTACAAAACAGGCTGTCCCGCGAGAGCTGTTCTCAGACCAGCCTGACACTCTCTCTGCTTCAGTGCGTTGAGTGAAGTAATGGATGATACTGTCTGATGCCTTATCTTTGATGTGTATGATAATCATGTCATCTTTATTTAGGTGGAAAAGCTCATCAGTGAGAAACAATAGGACATGATCATGAGTTCATCAGTGCTAATAGGTTCACAGACCGTGTCTCATCCACAGTTTGTCTCACAAGTACTTTAAGGTAATAAGTTTTGAGCCCCACCCTCTCTTAGGACAGGTATATGTGTACACACGCGGGCTGACAGACAGCAGACTGCTGGAGATTGCTTTCATCGAGCTTTGGAAACTGTACACAGACTCTAATTGTCCGTTTGGGGCACAAGACTGTGGAAAGGTAAAAACAAATATTTTTATTAATTTCGTTTGTATTAATGTC